ACGTGCGTAATTTAAATGATGCGGCAACTCAGGGATCGGATGATAGACCATTGACGGCTCTGAGCTAACTGTTGCTGTTCCTTGCACGATTATGTGCGTGAGGCACTTGCCTAATGCGTAGTCGTCAGGGAGACAAAGGTGTGACCCTTGGTAACGGGCGATTAGTTCTAATCGCCCGCTCTAGCGGGCGATTAGAACTAATCGCCCGCTACAGCGGACGATACGTGATTAAACGTCCCTGTTGAAACAAAAGAAACCCGGGCAACTATGCTATTATAAAAGTAAAACTATCATAATTTTCACGATCAGTATAGATGTCTAACCGTTTCAAGTCTATAGATTCCAATTTCTGACACGGCAAAAGTTATTCTTCTCCGCGTCTAAAGACAGTAAAGTGAAGAACAATTACTTATCATGCAGTGAGTGGGAAACTCGTCGAACGGGACACACTATATATTTTACATATAGTATATGTTTATACACCTGAAAAAGCCTGAACAGAATCAGCTAAAGTCAGTAGCTCTGCCATCACTAGTTGACTGTTAATGTACTGTAAAAATACTCAAATAACTCAGTGTCACTATATGAATCTCGTACGTATACATGCATATAGTCTGGTCAATCAATCAGGTCCTGCAGGCATGATTGCATCAACCCACATTCCCAGTTGTTTATAGAGCTATTCAAAGAATAATTAAACAGAACCAGGAAATTCAGACAGGAAATTTGACTCAAGTCTATATTCTATATAATAGTTTTATTTTTACTTGATCACGCATAATCTTATAAACCAGACTGTGCATGGTTTTATTGATTGTGAGGTGTGAACTCAAGTTCTAGAGTTAACTATTATTTTATTCAAGCTTATCAGTTTTCTTGATTATATATATATATATATATATGTATATATATCGATACTTGTCTATATATATATATATATATATATATATATATATATATATATATATATATATATATATATATATATATATATATATATATATATATATATATATATATATATATATATATATATATAGCTTAAGATTTTGGTTTACGAAACACAAATAGTGCTCAATACCATATAGATAGAGCGTAATATAGTTTTTCGTTTTACCTCAAAAAACCACAACAGTCTGTTTCATCCGTATAGGAATCATCAGGTGGTCCTGATGATTCCTATACGGATGAAACAGACTGTTGTGGTTTTTTGAGGTAAAACGAAAAACTATATATATATATATATATATATATATATATATATATATATATATATATATATATATATATATATATATATATATATATATATATATATATATATATATATATATATATATATATATATATATTTATATACCGCTATTTTCTATCTATTTTTTATCTACCGCTATTTTCTACCGTTTTCAGTCATGCATGCATCAACGTCCAATCATAGTATAGTGAGTACTGAATTTATGTAAAACATATTAAAGGTCATATGAGTCAATCGCCGCGATACGTCAAAATATTTATTCAAGGAAAAAATCTATATAGGTTCTCAGTCGGCAGTGGTTTGAACTTTGCATGCACTAATGTACAGCAATTTATATATATATTGCAATATGCAGGCACGTAACTGCATGAGAAACGTAATTTAGCTTAGTTTTTTACTCAGTTTATGAATGAGAAATATATTCATGATTGCCATTTAGCAATTACCATGCATGAAAGTGATTAAATGAACATTATAATTGTGTGCTTGTATATGGGGAAGTATCGTCTGTACGGTCTTATAGTGTATGGGGAAGTTGTTTAATTAAAACAGTTTCAAATTTAATCTTTCGTTGGATAATTGAAAAGGCCGTTGCTAATTCCAAGCAATCTAAGACTAAGTGCAACTATATAAGTCTGAGCCACTAGTATGAGCACTCAAAGCTACTCAACTTTAGCCTTTTGACTTATTTCTTTGTCATTCAATGTATTGGGAAGTATTGGGTGCAGAACTGTATAGCTATATAATATAGCCTATTGTTTAAGACCATGGCCATAGGAAAAGCGTAACGTACGGCAGTATGTATACAATGACTGATCATGCATGTGCATGTGCATCAATGATCATGCATGTGCATCATATGCACGCAGTCACAAATAGTTAATTCACTTGCAGAAGGTCTTGCTTTAGTTAGTTGGGAAATAACGGATTACAAGTAAAAACCCTAAAATAAGAAATCCTCATAAATGTAATGCAAAATACCTACAGACAGTAATCTAATAATCCATGCATCTCAATAATCTTACGATGCCAATGCCTTTCCCAAAGCCAAAGTCTCAAAGTGACGCATGCAGAAAGGCCTTCCCCAAGTTCGGAGCTGAAACAGAAGTCAAATACACTTGATTAAAACGATATCCGATATATTTTAAAGTCAATCAAATTTCAAGTCTCCCTTTCAGTTTGAAACCAAATCACTAACACTAAAATACATGTCATTCAGATAGACTTAAAAATTAAAATTCAAAC